GAAATTTATTCTATTTTTTTTCTTTTTTTTTTGAATCCTTACCTTTCCCGCGAACGTGACGCGGGCGCGTCATGAGGGCAAGAGAGCTCCCAGAAGTTTATGATGTTTCTGATCATGAGCTTCCTGCACATCACCACGCGGGCACGTCATGAGGGCAAGAGAGCTCCCAGAAGTTTCTGATCGTGAGCTTCCTGCACATCACCACGCGGGCGTGTCATGACTGAAGGGCACCTATAAATCAGCAAAAACGAAAATTGAAACCCAAAATCAGTCGAATTCAAGGAGAATACATCTAAACTACCACACGAAAATGAACAAACAATTAAAAGGAACAATTGGGTTGCCTCCCAAGGAGCGCCTTTCTTTAATGTCTTTGGCTAGACATTATCATGTTTTGCTCATGGAGGATAAAATCTTGTGGCTCGTCTTACTATTTCATCCTCTATATAGTCCTGATAACCCTCGTAAATAGAATAATTCTTGAGCATACGAGCTACGGGCTTCCATGGACTAGTGAATGGCGCCAAACGAGTCGATGATAATTTACATTCTCCATTCACTCCTCCCTCACTTGCATTCATTGGTTCAAGATATTTTGTCATCTCCACTCTCAACTTATTCCTGTCATGAAATTTTAAATTTTCTGGTATAATAAAATCAATTTCAGTAACAGGAGTTGAAGAATAGGAGTCAGGAAAATATTGATTAAGGAGTGGAGAAGATGTCACCGCATTTGGAGATTGTTCACTGGATTCATTCACTTGAACGAGTTGATCTTGGAGTCTCATTTCTTGCACTTCTGCTTCCTTTTCAACTGCATCTTTAAATCCGTTTTCTTGAAACTCTTGCAGTTCCATGTCATTTGGCCGGATAATTGCACTCTCATCTTCCTCAAGATTGATATTGGTTTGTGCGGGCAATTCTTCCATTTGAGGAGCCAATCGATTTATTCTGGATGTCAATAGACATAGTTGATCTGCTAGGTCGCGAAGGCTCGCTTGTGTCTCCTGATGAGATCGATCTAGGCTCGCTTGTGTCTCCTGATGAAATCGATCTAGGCTCGCTTGTGTCTCCTGATGATATCGATTTGTATTAGCAATTAGTAATTCCATCATTTCTTCAAGAGACATACCTGACACGGAGGATGATTGCTGAGACTCTTGCTGTTGAAAATCCATTGGCCCGGTTGCATAATCAAAATTGGAATTATCCCACCATTCTTGATCATACCCGTTTGAATAAGGGTCATACTGCGTTTGATATTGGGGTGAAAAATCTCCAAAAGTATCAAGTGGAGAACTTAGATTATCTTGAAATACGGGGCATGTGTCAGTTGAATAACCTGAGTCAAAATAAGTCCCACAATTTGCAACAGCCCATTGATCATTAGGAAAAACATGAGTCTCATAACCCCATTCTGGAACAAAGTCCAGTCTATCATCAAAATATGGAATGTTAGCAGCCATAAAAAAAAATGAAAACAAAATAAACTCAAAAAGAAACAAATTAATCTGGCACCAGTCCCCGGCAACGGCGCCAAAAATTGACAGGTGCCGAACCTGTACAATAATAAATACCTACTCGAGAAAAATACAGATTTTATATATAGCGGTGAGTAGGGTCGAATCCACAGGGACTGGAGATAATTTGTTTCTTCTAGAGTCCAAAGTATGGGGGGTTTTGGATTAAATGCTAACTAAATAAATTAACTGCAGAAAATAATTAATTAAAAGAAATGATTGGGGAAACTCTAGCCAAGGGTACACATCAGAAATGGTTCATGCACTGATCATTGATGCAGAAATAATTCCAACATTTAGCAATAGATTAGTTATAGTTGTCATGCACGCGATAAACAACCAACCCTTCCTTAATTTCTCGATAGCTAAGGTACGACCGTTAGCTATTTCTCTAACCCAAAAATAACCCTAGGTACGACCGTAGGATTTAATTTCTAGATTGCATTAATAATTAGAAAGGCCCAATCCTAACCAACAAATACGCTACGAGGGTTTGTTTAAATTAGATCATATGCTCCCCTGACATAAACCCAATTACGCCAGTTGCTACTGAGGTAGAGATAACGAACAATTACGGATTCAATTACCCCTATTTAGCAAAAATAGCCTATATGAATAATTAATTATTGTGCACTAATCAATCATACACAAGGCCATAGCAATTAAAATCAAGGAACATATAAATACCAATAAATGAAGAAAATAATTAAAACAGATTCGATCTCACAGTAATTGTCGAACCAAATCGTCAGTTGTCCCCTTGACTAGAAAAGCTTAACCACGCCTCATGAGAAAATCTCCCCGTTGGGGAATATTGTCGAATACCTGGCGTGTGTCAGAGGCCAGTCCAAGGAAAGAAAACTAGAACTAAACTAAAAAACTAAAACTAAAGCCCTAGATATCTCTTGCTTCTGTACGTTGTCCCCCTTTTAAAGCAACAAAAGAAAGATGACTAAAAGCTATCTAGGTGGTCCCCACACATGTGGACAAAGCCTCCCAAGTACTTCTTGTTCCAAGTCTCTCTACGTTGCTTTCTTTGAAGCCCAATTGACCAAATGCCTTTCACTAGCTTGTGGTCCCCCACCAATTCAAGGGCCCAAGGATTGAAACCCTTAGAAGTCTCCATATTTTTCACAAAGTCCCTCCTTTTTGGTAGTTTTCTGCTTCATTCCTGAAATTGATTCCAAATACCAAATATGAATAAATATCAGCAATTAACACAATATTTGTCAGGGATAGAAGGGAAAATTAATAATAAAAATACTAACAAATTATACCCTATCAATATGGCAAACTTGAGTTGGGAATATGTGTAGGGTGCATTTGACAAAATTGAAATTTAAGAACTAAACTCTGAAATGCAAAATCTAGAATTTGAAGCCATTAAATTACTGGAGTATTTATCACATCAAATAATAAGTGAATAACTTATCACGTATTATTTGGAGTAAATTTTAACTATTAAATTCAGTATCACTTATTTAATTTAAATGTTCTATTTTTCTGTTATCAAAAGTATCTAAATATATTAAGATCTAAACCAGTAAAATTTTAGTACTGAATTGAGTTATCAAATAGGTCTAAATATCAAGGAAGCAATAAATGTGATATTGTACAAGTAAACAATAAATTAGGTGTACAAATAATGCCTATTAGGTACCCATTTAAAAAATTCAAGAGCTATTTGTTCCCGTACTAAACAAAGGCGCAAAGTTAGAGATGTTCGGAAACTAATATCTTCCAACACTAAAGAAGTGACATATTTAGGTTAGGGATAAGAATTTAGATTCCACATTTGACACACTTAAACTTGTAGATGGCAAATATTATACTTACATACCAATTCTTTTTCCTGTCACTAAACTTGTAGCGTTTGTATGTCAAACTAGAATTAAAATGCATAGGAGAGAAGTAAAATAAAGTAACTATAAAAAATTAATCCAATTTATATCATTCAGGGAGAAAAATTGATCACGTAGTTATTTAGACTAAATTGTGGAATTTTTATGACAAAGGTTGATGTCTCGTGACTTAAAAGGTCATGGAATCCAATCTTCCTTCTTCCTCTCTACCTCTTAAATCCACACTTCTCCTGCTAGAAAAAAGAATAAAACAAATAAAACAAAATAAAAATGTTGTGTTTGTAGATATTTAATGAAGACTTACCTACCTGGCCACCTAAATTGTGATGACTTATCAAGGAATTGAGTATTCGTTGCATCTATTTTTAAAGAATATGCTTATCCAATGGAGATATTCCTTGATGCCTCATGTCAGAGTTGGCCATTTTCAATTGAGTCAAATAAAGATATTGAATCATTTTGGACGGTGAAACACCTGATGTAAAGAAAGAATTCCTTGAACGGCTGGACATAATGCTGGCACATTAAAAGTCTTGTGTTGCTATTACTATGAGATAAGTGCAATTATTGCTAAAACCTTTGTATTTATCTTATGAAGAATGGACAAATGTGCCTAGAATTTGTAGAAAGAATGTGATACTATGATTTTTTTTAAAAAAACTCGATGTAGTTTGATTTTTTTTTCACACCTACTACTTCGGATATCTTATCTCAAAATTTTGCCTAAATTTCAAATAGATTCTGCTAAGTTATTTCCAAGCTGAGGTAAAAAATATCAAGCAACCAAGCTCATTTATTTTTATTCAATTTCTCATTTTCCCTGCTTTTTATATAACATTATCCAGTCTTGTCTCTATACTATTCCTTGGATTCCGCTAGACTCAGGTTTTGACCGTTGTTTACCCTTTTCTTAGGCACCGGACAAAGGTGCCAAAAAGCGTATTATATCTTATCTTCATCTCATAATCGATGCCTGAGTGTGAATAGGCAAACGAAACTTGGATCCTGTTACCAATTCTAGAACTTCGCTTTGATATATGAGTAAATGAGGACTAATCGTATGTATAATTATCATTCATTTAAAATTAACAATACAATATATAAAAGATTAATCCTAATCGTAATATAAAAATCATCTCTCTTTTCCGACTCTGCCTAGTCCTGCAACTGACTCTCTTTTCCGTACCTTCAACCATGCATTCCTTTTGCTGCTCTTCCAAACCAATACACTGGAAGTAGTGCTGTTAATCGAGCCGAGTCGAGCCGAGTATCTGAGCGTCGAGCTCGACTCGTGAAGAATTCGAGCCAAGCTCGAGCTCGCTCGATAGCACAGACGAGCTATGATATGCACTCGAACTCGACTCGAAAAATGGAAATGTGACTCGAACTCGAGCTCGAGCTCGACTCGTTTATCAAAAACGAGCTGGGCTCGGACGAGCTCGAGCTCGAGCTCGAAATATGTATCCGAGCTCGAGGCTCGAGGCTCGATTTTAGACTCGAGTTCGAAGCTCGAGGCTCGATTTTGAGGCTCGATTTCGCAATTGAACAATCAGTTTACGAAGTTCTACTCCAGCATATCCAGATTTAGGCTATCCAAAATCAACAAAAAATATTAGGATTGGCAACCAATGGCATTCACATTCAACAATACACAAACTCTAACCACATTTCATCCAAGACAAATATGACCATAACATCCATCCAACACAAACTTTAGGAATAAAACAAAACAAATACACAAACTACAGTCTAATTCCATTCAAGACAACATTCATTAGAGCCAATATACCATAACAGGTTATGGCCAGCCAAATAAACGCACAAACTACAGCCAAATAACCATGAAAAACACTGCTACATAGCTTAAAAATTGTCCAACTTCAGAAATCACAAGAAAAAGTACAACCCCTTCAGAAATCACAAGAAAAAGTACAGCTTCACAAGTCCAGCTTTACAAATCACAAGAAACAGCATCACATATTCCAAAAAACAGCCTTCAAATGTCCGGAAGATCAATTTCTTCAATTGTAGATGATTCGGAAACATCGAGTGGTTCCTACAAAATGAAAACAAGAAAGTTACAACTAAAGTGATTGATTAGATTAAGAACTAAAGTGTGATGATTAGAAAGTTCCTAGTAGGTGATTGATTAGATTAAGAACTAAAGTGTGATGAACTTATACTTTAGGGGGTTACATTCTTTACATATTTAGTGTCAATTATAATATAGAAAGTTGAATGTATAAATTTATTAGTTGTAGTTTAAGAGTAACTAATTTAGTCGCTAATAAATTATTAGTTAATTGATTTAGTGGGTAGCAAACAACTAAAGAAACTAAAGAAAGGGCAAAAAAAAAAAAAAAGAGAAGTATGCTGTCCAAATTAAGCCCGTAAGGCTTTGTGAGTAAAAAATGAACCACCCTTTGGAGAGGCTTTGCAGAGTTGAGGTTAAACTCTAAGATGAAAACTCTTAATTGGAAACCAAATTTGGCAGCTTTAGCTTTGAAGCACTGACATAACAGTCCCATATAACATGATGCTACCCAACTTGGCATTTGAATGACAAAATTTTTGGATTCTTCATAAATCATAATTAATACAGTCAAAAACATTAAAAAGAGAAAATTGAAGTGTAATATAACGTCTGTACGTATCAAACTTAAATTGGATTTCCAAGACAACAGTCTTCTTTCTGAAATTGCATAAGCTATCCATTTTGGAATGTAAAAACATTACAAAATTAAAAAATTAACTACTACAGAACAGAAATTACGGGTCATTATTGATTATGCAAATTACAGAAATTACAGAAATTATGCAAAATCCTTAAAAGCCTTGCAAGTAGAAGACGGTCACCAGACATTTAAGTCCTTCTCACATCACATGTTAAGTTTTTGAACCGTAAGCAGCAATGAAACCTAAAACCAGATTTGGGGGCCGAAACATCGCAGGTTCTGAACTCTTGTCATTTAGTATAATTTACCTACGAAAAGAGACAAGACTTACCAGAAATCACGAAGGATTAGAGAAACCAGTCAAATTGGACTGGTTTTGGCCCCGGCGGTGGACCGGTTGTTAATGGCAGAAAACAGAGGCTGTGGCCTGTGGGTTGAGTCTGTGGGCGGCGGTGGAGGCAGACGTTGCTGTGGGTTGCGGCTGTGGACTGCGGCTTGCTGTGGAGTACGGCGGGGCTGTGGGTGCGGCTGCGGGTTGCGGGGTTGCGGGGCTGTGGTTGCGAGGCTGCGGGGTTGCGAGGTTGCTGGCTGCGGGGTTGCTGGGTTGTGGTGTTGCGGGGCTGCGGGGTTGCTGGGTTGCGGTGTTGTGAGGCTGTGGGGCTGCGGGGTTGTGGGTAGGGTTGTGGGTTGCTAGCTGGCTGTGGCCTGTGGGTTGCTAGCAAAACAAGTAGCTGCGGGGTGCGGCAGAGAGGGAGAGGCGGAAATGAAGAATGAAACGATGCAATATCAAGTTTTCAACCCTAGTCCAAATTTCTACTTGTTGACTATTAAAATGACAAAAATACCCTTCTTTGTCGAGCTCAACCGAGCTACTCGATAAAGAAGCGAGTTCGAGCCTACTCGGCTCGATTACTAAACGAGTATTTTTCGAGCTCGAGCTCGACTCGTTAATTGAAATTAACGAGCCGAGCTCGAGCCTTATCGAGCCGAGCTCTAACGAGCTTTCGAGCTGCTTGTTTTGCTTAACAGCTCTAACTGGAAGTCAAGCATAGCAGGGCTGTATTCAAGTCCTTCAAACCACAAAGAAAAGGGCAGCCTGTTCCAGATCAAGGGTGCCGGTGACAGCACGGTACAATATAGATACTATTATAACAGATGTAGATATTAACATAATAAGTGTAGATAATAATATAACAAGATGAAAAAAAAATGCAACAAATCTTTTTCATAATGAGAGAAAAAATTTATTGTACTTTTACCCGTTGTTAGTATTTGTATCTATTATTGTTTCAGTACCTACATCTTGTACCCTGGAGGCTTCTGCTCCTCCTGTCCCCGATTATAGAGTCAAGGAATCTTTTGGACTATACTGTGGATGCCGAGATTGGCAACATGGCAATGGATCCCGCTGTTGACTGCACTAACCATATCCATTTTTATTGTACCACCTTATTTCATCTCCATCACGAATGTGCATTACTATCAATCATTGGTCACTAAATTTTAATTAGAGAAAGTAATGGTGATGGGCGATACTTTATCTAAAAGTTAATTAGATAAAGTATCACCCACTTTTATTTCTCGATGATAAATGATTGATTTTAGTACATTAGATGGCAATATCAACTTTTATTATACTGAAAAATATTTAGATACACTAAAATATAAGCTTGGTGATAAAGTGACAAAGCTTTTCCACAATTGCAGCTTAATCTTTTATATGGCACTAATCCTAGGAATAGCGATAAACTTGTTAGCACCCAAAAAAAAATACGCAGCGAAAATAACATTAAAATTTTACAAATAATAAACATTAAGAAAGGCATGGAAAGAAACAAAATATTCTGTTTCAATTCACTAATTTTTTTTGTCAAAATTACTACCTCTGCCTCTACCAGAACCACTTCTTAAATTAAAATTATTACCTCTACCTCATCCAAAATTTGATGTACCTTCTCTACCTCTACCTCTACCTCTATTATTGTTGTTGCGACCACCTCTGTTATTGTAATTACCTCTATTATTGTAGCTTGGGTTCTTCTGATTGGATTCACCTTGCTCCTTGGTTTCATTATTGTCTCCCAAATACAACTGAGTTTATAAACGCATTCTCTATTATATCGTTCTCCGAGGTATCCTCCAACTTCCCATTAATTCTTTGTTCATGCAGATTTAATGACCATTGCAAATTTTCAATACTCAAATTCTCCAAATTTTTTGTCTCCTGGATCACAGTACCACATGATCAAATTTCATAAGTAGGGTGTTGAGAACTTTCTCAACAAATGTTCTGGTAGGAAGGTTATACTAATTAAGTGCCATCTTGTTTTTAATATCTGACAAGCGACAAAAATATAATTCAATAGATTCTGACTTCCCCATCGTCACAAATTCAAATTTCTTCTTCAACATCATCAAATTATTTTGTTAGACCCTGTCGATCCCTTTGTATGTCTTCTCCAATACATCTCAAGCCTCCTTTGCCATATCCGCCATAGCAATTTTTTCAAAAATTGACATATCAATTGCTTGATGAATATGCGACAACTCCTAACTATCTTTCGCCTTATTATCCGCACTAGCATTTTGAGCATGTACAGATTCAATATATCGATGTAATTTACATGTCTTGAGATGGGTTATCATCTGTTTCTACCAAAAATTAAACTCTACCTTCATTTTGAATTTTTGGACAGAATAAAAAATATTGAGAATAGAGTTTGCCATACTTCAATATATGACAGGTTGTCGAAGCCTGTGCAATATTAAAAACTTGCTCAACTAAAGTAAATTTCCGTAGATAGTGGTAAGCAGGATCGAATTCACAGGGACTGAGAGTACTTGTTTCTTTTCAAATTCACAGTGACAAAGGGGGTGTTTTTATAACAAGGGGTGACAATTAAAGGAATTCAACTACAAGTAAAAAAAATAATAAAAATAAAATAGCCAACTAGAAATTAAATAACAATTACTAAAATCAAATGAGTGATAATTAAGGATCTAGCCAAGGAATAACTTCAGCAATGGTTCACCTAATTGATCATCGAAACAAAGGCAATTCCAATTATTTACTAATAAATAGGTTATAACTGTCAAACAAGCGATGACAGTCAACCCCTCCTTACTGTGTCGGTGATTAAGGTACGCCCGTTAATCACTGAGAAATAATCTTAGGTACGCCCGTAAGATTTAATTCCCCAATTGCCTTACGTATTAGAGGAGCCCTATTCTAATCAAATAACGCACTATCAGGGTTATTTTAGGTTAGTCCGCGTATTCTCCTGACACAAACCCAATCATGCCATTTACCATTATTTTGAGACAATTAAATAATTACGAATTTAATGTCCCAATTGACAATAGATTATCAAATTAACTAATTATCCAGATCCAAGATAATCAATTAATTAAACAATCATAAGCACTGTAACAGGGAATATGCGAATACCAATAAATAAAAGAAAAAGATAAAATTAAATCGATCTCACAATTTTAGGCGAGTCAAAGCATCCGTTGTTCCTTGACTAGAGTGAGGAAATTAGTTCATGTTTGATGAACAAAGCCCACAGGAAGTTAGAGAGAAAACCGCAGTCATCAATTGGTAAATGGATGAACTCAATTCGATGGAATCCTGACCAAAAGAAAAGCTACAGGAAGTGCTTGAGTCTTTTTTATTGTTTCTCCTAACATACGAGGAGAAGAAAACTACTAACGAGAAGCCAAAAAGGAAAAATCCAAAGCTGCACTAAAAGATGAAAAACTAAGAAGAAAAGCTAGTACTAGTTTCCTGCCCTCAATTCTTCCTTTCATGTGCGGCTGCTCTCCTTCCGGAGAGGAAGAAGAAGACCAGCCTTGCGTTCCTTTTTCTTCTTTTTATACTGTCTTCCGCCCTCATCAGCAATTACCAAGATGGGAACAAATTTTCCTTTGCCAACTATGCCCCTCGGATAAGCTCTATGACTTGGACTCTTTTTCTGTCAAATTGACATTTGTTATCATATTTTCGTTCTACTCCCTGAAATAAATGCAAAACACTAAAAGTGAGTAGAATTTAACAATTAATTCACCTTGGGTCAGGTAATAGGGGAAATTAACAATAAAAAAAATGATAAAATTGTAACCTATCAATTCCCCCCACACCTAAACCATGCTTGTCCTCAAGCATAAGAACAGTTAACAAACACCAATATTTGACAATAGCTATTGCTCTATCTGCCATATTGCCAAGATACCAAGAAAAACATATATCAAGCATCAGTGATCAAGATCCAAGAAACGTCACTCCGGTTAGTTTCTAAACCATAAACTCCTCCAATTTCAGGATAACTAATCTAAGAAAAAGGAATGACACACAACATTTATCACCAAATGGTCCAACTATTAACCAAAATCTCAACATTAAATCCATAAATCGGCAAGCTGACTTTTATTATACACTAACACAACATTCACTTTTTTTTCATGTTTTTCTATTTTTCTATTCTTTTCTCTCTTTTTTTTTCTCCTTTTTTTTTTTTTGCTTTTCTCAATAGTAACAAAAGACTTAATCGCTAGCCATTAGAGCCTTTTGACGCGAACTCTGACATTTATTAGATGAAAGAGCCCGGTTACTCAGCTCCTATCGCTATACGACCACGTACTCATAGGAATTACTACCTTTTGACGCGAGAATCAACACTTTTAGGTGCAGATCCCCGGTTATTCAGTAGTAACTAATAGTGGAGTACAGTCAAGTTTATTCACAGCCAAATAATACCAAAAATTCAAAATAACACAAAAATCAAAAGGAACTTTACAGCCGCTAGCCTCATTTCCAAATATGGAGAACTAAGGTTAATAACCGGACCAATTCACATGAAAATGCTAACAATCATTCCCTATGCCTAGAAAAGTTAACCAAAAATTATAAGAGTAAAACAATCATCGATATTTACCAAAGAGATGTTTTTGGACTCAACCATATTAACTTGATACCCTTTTATTATTAAAACTTGGCAATAGCAGAATTAGAGACAACAATCCAACATCAAACTTTGGTATTTATTAAAAAAAAAATTAAATGAAGACTAGACAAATAACAAACTAGAAATAAAAGAAGGACATCTGAAAACTAAAAATTGGCATAGCTGTCCCTCCCCCCACACCTAGATCCTACATTGTCCTCAATGGAGGAATTAAAGCAATTAAAGTGAAGAAGACAACGAAACTTCCCTCTCAAGTGGCTACGGGGTAGGCGGGGACGATGGAGGGAAACCGATGTGGTGGAAGTGCGCACCCAAGTTCTGAGACATCATAACTCAATTCAACCAGCAAATGCAAAACTCTGTCCACCCAAAATCTCAAAAAAAAATGACTCCAGTTGGCCAGTTATTGCCTTAACTTAAAATCAGCAATTTCAACAATGACAACTTAGATATTTGACAATAATAACTCAGCCAACCAAATAGAGGTACCAAATTCAATTGAAAATATTCCTACCAGTACCACTGGGGGCAAAACGTAGTCCAAAATCAATGAAATTGCTATAGCAGAGTAGAGCAGTAGTAAAGCCAAAACCCCAAAATAAGTATTCACCCACCAAAAAATACAAATACCCAATTCTTGACAGCCAGACTGCCCCCCAATAGATCAATTTGAAACTAGCAACAGCAGCAAGTAAATCATGTGGCACAGGTCTCCCAACTCAACATGCAATTTCCAAATTACTTCAACAGAAATCTCAATAGAAACCTCAGCGAGAGTAACAATTGAAAACAACGGTCAGAATGTCTCCAAGAATTTCAAGCAGA